GCCTATGGGGATGCCTGGAAATATGGTCATGGGCATGATGGGACCTAACGGTATGCCTGGTAAGTGATCCTATTCGTAGACAGATGAGGCTTTTTGGGTGCACTGCTAACATGCACAGGCTTCCAAGGAATGCCTCCCAACTTCAACCCCGGCTTTGGCTTCAACCAGAACCAGGGCGGCGGCGATTGGGGCAACCCGCATGGAGCAAAGAGACCACGACCAGAGTAGAACCCCTTCGTTGGGCCTAATGCTACGTGCCAAATGAGCCCAATGGCGCCTCCGAGTATGAGCACAAGCACAAGCGTGGATTTGGGGAAATAGGGACAGCAATGAGAGTCTCCTATGTCTGCATTTAATTCCGATCTCTAGGCCAAGGAGAGTGCATTTTGGGCAGATTGCGAACCGGCATGAATATGCTACCGAGTGAAAAAGGTTGAAGGATAATGGAAGGCAGTAACTGGGCACGTGTAACATAGATTATGGATGTTAAGGTTAGGGCATTGGCGTCAAGAAAGCGTTTTTGTTTAAGTTTCGTGAGTCATTGAAGAGAAAGTATCTACGTGAACTGTGCTCTTGCCAACGTACCTAGACTGGGCTTGGGCATATAAAGGGGATGAAGTCTTCACCCGGATCAATTTACTTTCCTCATCACACATCCTTATCGCTCAATGGATTATCCCGCCCCCAGAATGCTCCCGCCCATGGCGATGGACACTGAGCAGCCCATTATTTGCATCAGATATCGCGCCGCCTGGCCTTCTCTTCCCCGGCTGCCCCTAGACAATTCACGAATGCAACTACCATCGAGTATCCAGGACCGACAAGGCCAAATCTTCGACCGAGTTGAGAGGATCCTCCAGAAGAACAACATCCTAGGGCCAGAGACCGAAATCGAACTGGTTGTACGCCGAATGAACCCAACTGTCTTGATCAAATCACCATGGAAGAAAGACAGCAAGACAAAGTGGGCGCAAGCGGTCGAACAAATCGTTGATGCGATGAAGAAACACTTCCGAGGCGCAATCGAAAGAGGCCTTCACGTTGAGATGATAGCACCGCAAAAGTACGAAACGGTGTACATCGGCGAGGTGGAGGAAGATGTACCATGGGATGACATTCGAGCTGTTGCGAAGCGCCATCTCGACTCCTCCTCCGCAACACGCCACTTTCTAAGCACTCTCGCCCTCACCAGAAGAGGTTTCTCCAAGCCCGAAGACAACCCGATCACCGTGTACATTGGATGCCTTGAAGATTCCGACGAGACCAAGTGGGACGGTATTATTGATGGAATCGAATCTGAGTTTCGGGAGAGGGGGTGGATGGACATTGTTGTTCACATTGAGCACAATTGGTCATTCACTAGGATGACTGTTGATTAAAAGATATGACTTTGGATCATGGATACACAATACATCAGGAGACATTACTGGAGGATGTGTAGGCAACGGGTGTTAGATGGTGGAATCCCACTTGAGTTTCAGCGTCAGGAGAAGGCGCTGGGATAGCACAGCACCAAGTCTGATATAGCGTCATCGGGGGGCAAGAAAACAGCAAACCTCAATATAGGGTGCCAAAATAAACTCATTATAAGCTATCCTAAGCTTAGACTAGATTACCTAAGTCTTTTTGTCATTTAGGATTGAGGTTCTGTGTTTTATTTCCTCCCCTAGAGCGTTTATTTGATCACTCGAGGACCACAGAACTGGGGTGGAAATGAAACACAAAAGGGCTCATTGCCATTAAGAATAAAACACAGCCCTGTTCTACCCCGAGAACCCAGACTCATTCGTATCATTGCTCTCCTTTGCAGCCTCTTCCTCCTGACATTCGCGGAAAGTCTTCCGCGGCCACACTGAGATATACTCGTTGCTAAAAGTGGGATCTTCTTCTCTATTTCTAGAGCGTGCAAAGTCAAAAATAGCGCGGCGAAAGGTCACTATTTCGATCTTGTTGGGGATGCTGATGAAGATATCCTTCTTTCATTGGTAGACAAAGATGAGGTAACGGATTGGAAAGGGGGAATCTGCCTCGAGATCGGCTTGATACTGCTCGAATAAGACGTCTCTCCAGGTTTTGTTGAAATTTCTGGTTGTCATTTTGGGATGAAATAATGGAAGATAATGGAAATAATGCAGTGTTGAAAATGGTGAAATTGTTGATGCGAATTGCGGTGGTTGCTTAACTTGGGTTGTTAGTCATGCATCGTCCGTCACTTGATCGGCAACAGTAGCGTTCAGCTACAAGCTCAGAGTCAGGAGCGGCAAAGCGAGACTTGTGTAATGATAGAATATAAAACAATGAGTGGGAGGAGGATCTGTGAGTGACTCAAGTTGTCTGAGGCTTGGCATTATCTTTCTGATTGTTGATGCATGTAACCTCCAGCCTTTAATACCCAAATTGCCCACTGTAAGCCTGCATGTCGAAAATAGGGGTATCTCAGATCAAGTATCACAATTTGGAACCTTTGAATGCCTAAATCTCTACAGCTCCGCGCCTGATACCTTAGGCAGTGTTGCGTCGGTGGTAAGTGGAAGGCGGGCAAATTCGTCTGATCTTCAAAAAGGAAAGAGCACCCCTCCTTCCGCCCCCTCCTTCACCTCAACACTCTCTCACCACGCGCGGGCAGAGATGACTCTCTTTTAGCCAAAACAACACCAGCATCCTTTTGTGAAAGTCTCTTTATCGCTGCTGATTCTCACAGACATGGCTTCACGCAAGCGCCCTCGTGACGTGGAAGAATATGACAAGTACCAGGGCCTTGTTATCTATATTGGGAACGTCCACTACGATGCCACTCCAGCCGACTTTGAACACTTTCTTCAGGACCACGGTATATCGTGCACGCTTTACTGGCCTGAAGCCGGAGAAAGGTCTCATGGTGGCTGGTGTTGGGCGCGCTTTCATCATCATGACCATGCTAGCCATGCGATCAACAATCTCAACGGCGCCATTTTCTGCGGAAGAAGGCTAAGAACAGGGCATGTAGCCACCAACTCCGTGAGTTTCTCCTCGAAAGAAGCATCTTTCAAGATGTAGCGCGCGAATGATCACAGTGCTTAGCTAACATCATCTGAAGAAACGCGCTCGCTTTCAAGACGGTCCTTTGTCCTTTCAGGACCGCCCTGAAATTTACGATAATCCGTTCCAACGAAAGAACCCATTTCCATTCCCCAACGATTTCCAGGCCTTTAATCCTCACACCTTTTTCCAGGATTACAGCCAGCTGAGATACCCAGGTCACTCAGCACATCACTACCACCGGCCGGCCGAGCATCCTGGCTTTTACCCCTCGGCGAAGAACGGACGACCAGCGGCCCCCTTTAGGCAGAGTGCTAGCTACGCAGTGCAGTACCCAGACTCCTACCCGCCAAGAAAGACGGAGCATCTGGATCACCGTCACATCCCCAAATTGCAGGATGTCTGGATCGCAGACAAACCCTACCTTAGCACGGCAAACATCTTCGCCAAAGGGATCAAGATCTCGGGACTGGCAATCACGGTCAACCAAGGACAGACCCCTCCAGATGGGGCAGTAGCTCTTTCCAGGCCTGAGAAATAGGAGTCACAGGATGGAGATATGGACATAGACATGACCGAACCACTTCCCCAGCTGTATTGGCAACCGGGTCGCGTCCTCGGACCAGACCCTCAAGAGAGGGCCAGCATCTCTCATTCCGAAAGTTTCGTCGGGCAGTCCGACATGAGTGCCAGTATCCTTTCGGCGACATGCCGAAGTCATATTGTTTCGTACAAGCGTCCTCCAGGAGTTGGACTTGGTTGGGGCGACTTTGATCGCTTCTATGAATGGCAGTTACATGGCCGTAAGGTAAGGACAAGCAACTGATTTGAAACCCTTTGAAGACCGCCAGCTAATGTCTCATTTAGGTCCAAAAATCGATGGTACGAGCTCAGAGGTTTCAGCAATCCAACTATCCCCATGTGACCTTCATTTCCGAGTTGACTGGCTGCCTTCATATTGTACGAACAGACTCGACCAAGATTGAATCTCGAAGAAATCTCAAGAAACCCAGCCTGTGGCAGAAGCTCAGAAATGGCAAGAACTAACGGAGGACATGAGGCACATTGATGTTAGTGAAGGTTGAGCGAGGGATATTTGTCAGATGCTGAGATTTGTACATGAAACAATCTTGTCAACCAGGTGGACAGTTTATAATGGCACATGGAGGATGACCTGGCAATAGCTTAAGGCAATAAGAGTATGAAGAAATAGGCAGTGGATCAGGCGGCGGTGTTAGGGTGAAAATAATCGATCATCTGGCCAACTCATAGCTATTTCTCGACATACATACATGTGAACAAAACGACTAAGGTACCTAGCACAACAAAGCCGCTCAACGTGTAGATTACCACCAATCCGTCTGCCTGTTGGTACCTAGTCCACAAGCCTCATCAAACGACGCCTTCGCAAGCGGCATTTTGTACGGGCCAGTCTTGCCCGCACGTTTCAACGCCCAGCTCTCCTCTCGAAAGTTCTCGCATCCCCGGAGCCACTCGGGTTCAATGGCCGTGACTGTCTCCAAAAACTGGCAGTTGGTCATGACGAAGGAGTCAAAAATGACCCATCTGTGGTTGAGTCCCACAAGGTTGCTTTCAGGAGATAAACCAGCATGCCAGCTGTGATGAAGAACTCTGTAGCGGTCGTTCCCACTGCCAACGTCGCTGAAAGCCACGCGATGACTGAAGGCCCAAGCAAGCGCTTGGCGGAGATTGTCATCACATTCAGAGATCTCGAGCGCGAGCCGCTTGGGCTTATCCTTGAATAAATCGGCAAATGACTTCCTCAGCTTCATGCGAATGCGTTTGAACTCTTCGAGAGCACGCATACTGAGAGAATTGTCCGAGCACCACCCCGATATGTCGATGTAAACCCCCTCATGTCTAAGATCCTCGGCCTCGTCTTCCTTATTCATATATGCGTCCACTGCGTTGAGCTGCGTGATGTGATCAGAAGTGAAACAGGCAAATCGCTGTGCCTGACATGCACCGGAATAGGGGCCCTGACCACGGACAAAAATCGGATGCCGTGTGCTTCGAATGGCGGCGATAGTTATCATGTCACTACTGCAGCCGAGTTCATGAGCCTTTTCAAGAGCGTTGAACCATACCGGGTGGACTGGAAGTTTTGAAGCCATCTGGCCCTTTGGAGTGATAGTCCCAGTATCGTCAAGATATCCCCTATTCTTAGTTAGTGCCAGAAAGAACGAGAAAAGGAAAAGGAAGACAGTACATGGCAAGAAGATCTTCAAGAGCGCGAAAGAAAACCTCGGGATCAGGCTTTTCGATAAAACCAAAATTGGCCACATCGTCGAATCCCATAGCCTTGATTTGTAGAACCAAGCGAGAAAGGTCGCTTGTGTAAAGGGAAGCGGGCGTTGTCGGAAGAAGATCCCTATCGTAGTACTCCTTCGTGTAAATGCGATAGCATACACCTGGCTGATTTCGACCAGCGCGACTGGCCCGCTGCTCTGCTGCTGCCTTGGAGATAGGACCGGTAAAAATTGTCTTGAGGCCAATGCGGGGATTAAAACGCGACTCAATACAAAGTCCAGTGTCTGAATATCATAGTAAGTTTCTCTGGTCGGAATTGAACAATAATTTGACAATGGCCAACATACCAACGATGTAGACAACACCATCAACCGTCAAATTCGCCTCCGCAATATTGGTAGAGATGATGCACCGACGACGGGATGATCGTATAAGGACTCTTTCCTGCTCTGCTTTGGGCAACTGAGAATAAAGGGGCAACACTTCAAGACCCCAGGTTGCCGATCGCAACTGTCCACAAGCATCTTCAATCTCGGCAGTAGATGGCATAAAAACAAGAATGTCACCATCGCCAGTAGTCTGATGGATGTGTTGAGCAGTATGAAGAGCTAGATTAACGTAATCAGAGGCGGGCTCCTGGAGATAACGGATCTCGACAGGATGTTCGCGGCCGGATAGAGGGAGATGGCTGCTTTGATCGAAGTAGTCCAGGAAAATATCCACATTTGGAGTGGCGGACATGATGACTATCTTCAGATCAGGGAAGAGTGGTAAGGCACCCTTCAATAGTGCTAGGAGGAGATCGGTAGGGATGGTGCGTTCGTGGGCCTCATCAACGATGACACAACTCTTTAGGGGGTTGTTAGAAAGTGGCCAAAGGCGTTGGAAACAACACTTACGTATTTGCCGAAAGAACCAGTGCCTTGAACCAACTGCACAAGCATTCCGTCGGTCATGTAGTTTAGGCGTGTTTTGACTCGGGAAACACGCTTATCGAAGCGAACCTGATATCCCACTTCTTCACCCACTCTGACATCTAGCTCAGAGGCGACCTTCTCTGCCGCTGAAATAGCAGATGGTCGATGGGGCTGTGTACAAGCGATAGGTTTTGAAGAACCAAGTTCGTCGAAGAGAATGAATTGGGGAATTTGAGTAGTTTTGCCTGAACCCGTCTCGCCAGACACGATAATAACCTTTGAGAATTAGTGCCATGCTCCATGATGTGAAGAGTACAGCTACCTGGTGTTGATGATACAGATTAAGAAATTCCTGCCGCTTTTGTGAGGCTGGAAGCCTCCGGCGAGTAGTGAGCAACTCAAAGTATCTTCTGCTATGAAGATCATTTGCGCGCAGCGGATGGGCTTCGCCATCCTCAAGCCGGATTGCTTCCTCTGCAGTTGAATCACGAAACGACCCGTGATCCATGGTGATACAGAAGGTATGAAGACTGTTGCCGATGGTGAAAGAACAAGGGAGCTGCAATGAAGCTGTGCAGCTTTGTGAAGGTGAGTGGGTTGAGTGCTCAGATCTGAGGCATCCGTACTTTCTCGTGTCGTCTACGAGCCCCACGTGATGCCGCTTCCATTACAAGAGGAAGGAGCTACCTGCCTAGGTACCTAGGCCTGCAACCTAACTCAAAGAAAAGGGGGAAGGCACGGTCAGGCAGTGCCTGCATCTGCCAAGTGATCTCGCACTTGAAGGAGCGGTTGCCCCTGAAAAGGGGCACACCAGGGGCAATAGGAGCCTAGAGCATGATTAAAAGAGATCCATTGCGAATGAATAAGAAAAGAGAGGCTCTTGGTTATATTTCAGGAGGAGGAGCTTTATTCTACCAGTGCGCTTCGATGTGCCACAGGTCGTGATTCACTGTTGATTTTATGTGATCAATCTGAGGTAATAAGTCGAGTTTCTAAATTCGGTGAATGATAGCTCTAATACCAACTCTGTGATCTAATGCTACAAAAATCATAAAGAGGGCCCCTCAGCCTCTAAGAAGTTGAATGCTGATATCGGAGAAGAATTATAGAGATGTATTGTTGTTGGTTTCTGTCCGGATTTATAGAAACGAGGTCACAGTAACGAAACTCACGATTCAGCTTCTGGAGCAGCTGACTGACAATTTACTTACCTCAAGAGATACATTCATTAATAATAAATAGAATGTATCCTTGTTGAGAAGCCTTCTGTGAAGATTAGAAAGTAACTTCAGTTATTTTCTAGAGAGTCACTGGCCTGGAGCCCCATCTGAGTCTCAGCCTTACTATTCCTACCGTAATGATTCACCTAAAGACTCTAAGGAACCACGATATAAGCCCCTGCCCTTAATTGAGTGAAGTGTCATTGGGAATTGTGGTTCCAATAAGTAGGTAGTTACCGTAAACCTCATTATCTTAACTCTGTGTGTTTCAACACTGCGTTTTAGGTTTGCTATTTCCCGGCTCCTGTCAAAGAAAAACGAACAATCAATGTTTCAGTATTTTCATAGAAATAGAGATCACGGTTAATTCTTCTGGAAGCTTGTGTTTGCAATTGCTATGCATGTTCCCTCCTCTCTGGCACGGAGACCTGCATTGGAACAGCATTAGAATGCCTGGCTCTCTTTGAAGGTGCCTATATTCAATAAAACTGCTCCAATGCAGTGCTACGTAGAGCTTGTTAGAGTCTGCAATCGTCGGCTGCTTGCATATCCCTTTATTAGGCTGTCGGCTGTTGGTTCAAAACGCCATTCAACTTATCCGCCCTTTGCCAAGGCTAACTGCAAACTCTCAGAGGCAAACATTCGTTCAGGGTCTGTGCTAGTGAATGTGACTCGAGTCCATCCGTGTTCGAGCTAAAGATGTCGAACAAAGAAAATGTTCGAAATATCACATGTGTCAACCAATGAACAGTTGTTGTTTGTTTGTTCCAGGTCGGCACATGGTGTAAGAGATTCAATGGCCTTTGATCTATAAATACCTAACTCCACGACCCAAGATTCAAGACTCAATACCAACGACGGCAACAACAACAACAACCAGCTTCAACTCAGTGGGCTCTAGTGATTCAACACTTACATTGTCAATCAACAATACTGCAAATCTCAATTCCACCCACTTCGCCAGTATGTCGACCGCACAGGATTACTACTCGGATGACTGGACAGACACTGATTCGGAAATCAACTCAGACGACCTCATGGAAATCGACTCAGATGGCGGCTCAGATGCTGCTGGCTCAGATGCTGGTTCAGACGCTGGTTCAGACAATGGCCCAGATTACGACTCTGACGATGATTCTGAGGATGACTCTGAAGATGATTCTGAAGATGATTCTGAAGATGATTCTGACGACGACTCTGACGACGGCTCAGAGCTTGATCGCGATGTTTTTGGCCCTCTAGTTGACATTAGCGAGGAGTCTATCATCGCCCTGGCCACTAGAGTCGCCAAAGATGTCCTTCATGTTCTCCCAGGAACGGCAGAGCTTCTTAACACAGTTTCCGGGTCTTACAACATCGTCCACATTGTACAGCTTGAAACCGTCAAGCTGGTTATTCGAATCCCCGCTACAGGTTGGGGTGATGGAATGACAAAGGCTGCAGAAGACGCCCTTTCATCGCAAGTCGCAACAATGCGTTTCATTAAAGAACAAACCGGAGCGCCTGTGCCTGAAGTGTACAGCTGGGACCCAACCACCAACAACGAGATTAATGCTCCTTTCATCTGTATGAGCTTTGTTACCGGAGAGACCGTCTCCAGTGTTTGGTTCAAAGACTCAATGGATGATGAGGCGCGAGAGCAGCTTCGTCTCAACATTCTGTCCAGCATCGCAGCCATCATGGCCAAATTCTCTTCCATGACTTTCGACAAAATAGGCTCCCTGATGCAGGCAGAAGACGGCTCTTTCTTTCTCGGCCCAATGTTTGAGTGGACTGAAAATGAAGATGACAGTGTGCATGCTAAAGCTACGCGCACCTATTTCTCAATGGATGAGCTTTTCGCGTGCAGCATAGAGTCCGGTGTTACGGGCAATGTGTGGGATCGCGCAGAGGAAAAGTTGCTTAAAGTGTTCCTGGAAAACTCGCCACTTCTTCATTACCATTCTCGATTTGTTCTCTGCCCCCCTGACTTTGACTCTCAGAATTTTCTTGTGGACGAGAAAGGGAACGTGACAGGGTTGATTGACTGGGACCATTGCCAGACAATGCCACCTCACCTCGGGTACGCCGCTTATCCAGGATGGCTCACCAGGGACTGGGATCCTTTGATGTATGGCTGGCCCCATTTGCAAAAGACTGAGGATTCGCCAGAGACCCTTCAACGATATAGGGAACATTACAACAAGAAGATGTGTAAAGCTTTGTCTGGGCAAGAAGACTGTGGTGTGACGGAAGACAGCCATATTGCTGAAGCCATTGCCATTGCAGCATTCAACTCTATGAATAGACTGGAAATCTGTTGCAAGTTTGTCCAAGTCGCTCTAGGTGTGGACAAAGAGGACTCTATCCAGGTTGTTTTGGATATTGGAGATGGTGACTATGACAAAGGAAAGTGGAATGAGTTGGAAGACAAGCTGAAAGCTTTGGTCTGCCCCTCAACCACACCCTCAAGACAAGTTGAATGAAGTTCAGACAGGAAACAAAGAGGCCTAGAGAATTGATTTATGTTCGTTCCTGTATAAGTATGTCTCGAGAAGACTCGAATAGATAGTTCTAATCACAAATCACATCGCAAACATTTGAATCATTATTTCCACGAACATAACTACTCAAGCACAATCATTAAACTTCCATCATGGGATGCAAAAAGAGAGAAGGAAAGCATCACTGGTAAGTAACGCCTCGGACAAATGACTGCAGAAGTTAACAAGGCAGCCCCGTGTGCAATGAAAGTGCCAAAACACGATGTGTGAAGAAACAACATCTCGCCATCTGTGGTGGATGCCATAAACCTTTTTCATTGAAGCACAATCGTCGGTGCCCCTTTTGCCTGGGAAGGGATATCAAAGTGGAAAAGAGACACGCGAGGGAGGATGCTATCCAGGAAGAGGAAGAAGAAGAGTGATGTGCAGCGTTTTGTATATGAGAGAAGAGGAAGAAGAGGAGGGAAGTTGGAGAGATAGATAAAGGAGAGATGTGCAGTTTAGGATATCTGGGTATAGAGTGGCTCAGTGTGTACTGCTGGTAGTCTACACTGAGTAGGGTTGCCAGAGCGAGTATGTCTCTTGCCTGTTGCTTTGATGTTACAATTGCCTTTTTTATGGATATTAGACCTGTCATTGCTTTGATGTAGCATAGTTTTATGTTAAGGAGTTACTGTAAGTAGCTGGAATCCATCAAGGCTTTAAGACGTCCTAGATCTAAGTTCTATTGTTGTCAACTGGTTCAACTAGCTGCACACAGTAACACTTCAGTTAATAACAAAGCACCGATTTGCTGTTATTGAATGGATGACTGGTGCTAATGAGCTGGCGCTTGGCTTTGGTTTTCTGTCTACCCAGCTTTAAACCCCCTGGGACAGTGGACTCAACTGTCACTCTAATCCAAGACCCGCGCAGTATTTTTGACATATGACTTTTAAGTAGCAATCTGAGTCTTTGAGATTTAAGGAAGCGAGGTTTTAGGATACAAAAAGTCATAAGAGAACAGAAAGCAACTAGAGACACCTGCTGATCGGGCAGTTACAGAAGCTTGGTCCGAGTTAACGGAGCTCCTTTTCCAGATTAAATTGTCTATACCTTTTGGCGGAGAAACATGATTACCCAGCAAGGCAAAGTAAGTTGTCAGTGGCGGATCTCTTTCTCAGAGGCACCCTTTGCTTTGGTACTGGAAGAACATAGATATGTCCGAGAAGCCATGAAGAATAGATGACGTAGATAACATCACAAGTTGATAGCTGTAGTACATACCTTTGCGGGAGAGAGGCGGTGAGCAGGCTACTCGACAAGCCGTACGACATCCTTTGGTCCCTTAGAAAGAAACAAAAACTCGGGAGCATTCCAGAATAAGCCTCATTAATTAACAAATAGAAAACAAATAGCCCAACAGAGGAGAAAATACTGTTATTGGTTAATACACGTTAGTCTGACATCGGAAGTGGTTTGTTTGGGTCTTACTGTCCCTGATCTTAGCCTTGAACTCCCGAGATAAGGTCTTACTACACGTGGGAATAAACCCGAGTACTTCGCAACGAGAGTCAATTGGGTCAGCATTTATGCAAAGTTGTGTGTTTAACCGGCGCAGAGATCTCGACTTGGTACCGTGGAGCGTTGCAGTGCAGACCCCGCTGAACTTGGTCTCTGGTCTTTGATTGCATGTGAGATAAGAGACAGAATTCATGACGAATACTGAACTACCTAGATATAATTCAGTACCTCTACTTGGGAGATACAGGTCTCCTGTTCCTGTGTAAAATTGTCTGGCTCTTTTGCGATGCTCCACAGAATTAGCGTTTACATGAGACCCGGTAACAAAATGAAGTTAGAACACGATTAGGTTAATTAGCTCACGATAAGCGAAAAAGTATTTATAACTACCTAAACTTGAATGGCCTAGATAGAATTTAAGTATTTCCATGTACTTGGACAGTGTTTGCGTCTCGCTAAACGGTAAAAGGTGCGCTTCAAAGAGTGTCAGCCGTCCAATATCTACTACCTCATACCGACATGGGGTGAGACCTTATTAGCTAATATGCTGCCTGTCTCCCAGCCATTTATGACTTGCCTCGAGCATGAATGTCTTTACCCAAGTTCGACTTAACAATAGCCACCCATCTTCACTTACGACACAGCAAGGACGATATTCACCGTTGGAAAGAAGCCCTTGGCTCTCCAAGCTTTGATCTATCGCTTGCGCATTTAGCTTTTCGAACATGCTTCAGGTAATCGCCAAGAGTTATGAAGCTCAGAAAACCTTCATTCTCTGGGGTTATAAGAGGCTTTTGGGAGCTACTATTCTCGTTGTTGTTAATTCTGCTTCCTCCCTCTTCGACAACTCGAAACCCCGCTGCGATAAAACCACTCATCACATGTAAATCTCGCTTAGGAAGAGGAGGAGAAGGGAGAATATCCAAGACTAATACAGCTTCTAGTACAAATATGCCTCCGTTCTTGTGTAATGAGATCTGGGACCTTGTCTTCTCCAACTTCGAAGATACCATAGATGTCGAAGACGGATCAGATCATGGCCTTTATCCGTCCCCCAAAGACACTGATATTCCAACTCTTAAATCACTGTGTCTTGTCAGCCATCAATTCTACAGATTGGCCAGGCGAAATCTGTATCGTACCATATCGGGCGGAAATCTAGACGGCCAAGAGAATAATACAAAGATGTGCTTACTCGCCCGTACGCTTCTCTTGAACCAGGAGCTCAGGTCGGAAATCCGTGCAATCGACCTGAGTTCCTCAACAGACTGGAAGACTTCCTTGGTCAACAGTGACTTTTGGCCACCAAACATTGAACGGGTTGAACCTCCTCAACTACGAGACTTGCTGAGGGAAGACATAGAAAGTTACTCTGCCACTGGAGCTGGGACATGTTTTCTTCTGGCCCTCATGCCGAAGCTCCGGATGGTCGTATTGTCAGACCCCCAGACACATTCCAAGGCCCTGACCTGGATCCTCGGGGGAGAGACGAGGACTCCCCAGCCTGGCACAGCAGATCGACCAGAACTAGTTGCGAACTTCCTCGGTCAGCTGGAAGAAATACACTGGCTGCCATCACGGACCAGAGTAGAATACTCAGGCACTTGTAGCACGGAATATTTGCTACTCCTTCCCAATATCAAGCGACTCTTCCTGACACCTTTTGAACCCACCTTCACTATCAGCCCTCCCGTGGTTCCAGACTTTCAGAGTGGGCTACAGAGTTTGACACTCGACGCTGGTATGATCTGTCCCGCTTTCCTACACTACAGTCTTTCTCGATGCAAGGCCTTACAGTACTTGGACCTGGATCTTACAGATTGCTACGACATAGATGAAGAGGATTTGATAGTGAACCTGTACGACTTTGGAAGCATTCTCAGAGAGTTTGGACAGGCCCTTGCCGGCCTAAGGCTGAGATTTTACGATACCGAAGAGTACTCGAGAGGCAAGATTGGCTCCCTACGAGGACTTGAGCGTCTCCGACACCTTTCAGCTCCAATATTTGTACTTGCAGGTAAACTGAATGACGCAGTCCCGCTACAGGAAGTCTTGCCTGAATCTGTGGAGACGCTCGAAATGAATTTCGTTGATGTCTGCAGGATGGAAAATCGTGACATTCTGGTAAGACTGTCTGCTGCGAACGACGACCGGATGATTCGCTTTCTTGACAACAATGAATTACCCAAACTACAGGAAGTTATATATGGTTATTTTACGGACGGCCAGGTTGACAGGGCCACTCAATTCACCAAGGTTGAGGGCTGGAGTGTCAAGAACGGGGCACAACTACGGCAATCGTTCGTTGGAGAGCCTTATTCTGTGAGGCTTGGGCTAGTACGCGGATAATAGGATGGCAAGATGGCAGACGGCTATCAGTTCACCCTCCCTACCTACGGAACTAATGAGATAATGAAACTATGGCTTGGAAAGAGATGATCAATTTGAGCAAAAGCAAACAGACTGCTGTATGACAGAGATATCACACCACATATATACAAGTACCCGGTGTGAATATACGGAGTGTTTTCAGCTGAGAGAAGAGATAACTTGAGATGGAGCAGAAACGGTTCTCATTGGCAACCTGCAAGGTATCATTCCAGACTACGACAATAGTCTTGATTCAAGCCACAGTCTTGCTCGTGCATATCATGTTACTCGTGATGATACCCTGCCTATCGTGGGTTACACAACATAAGTACCTCACAAAAGTACCTTTTGTACTTAAGCACGACCTAGTTGCCAGCCTGATCGATCACCCCCAACAATCTCATCCCATCGGCACCCATCTCATCTTCTCTGCCCTCATTCCATTCTAACCCCAATTGCCACCCCAATCACTATCATCATGCTTCTGTCCGTGCCCAACGAGATTTTGGACCACATTTGTTCCATCATCGAGTGCAAAGATTGGGAAGGCGGATGGGATACCAAGTCCTCCTACCAGACACTCTTGTCTCTGAGCCGCGTTTGCAAACGATTGCGTGAAATTGCAGAACCCCATCTCTTTCAAAGTATTTTTGTCCTCGAAGAGGATCCTGATGAGAAATGGATGCAACTTGCAAGACGCCTGCAACAGGATCCTAAGCAGGGCCTCACTGTGAAGACGTTCTGCTCCCAGAGATACGATCCCATGGCTCCTCCATACTTCCTCGACTTCATGAAAAAGTATTTTAAAAGGCTGTCCTCATCACCTGAAGGTGAAAAAATCCCCCTAAATCTCAGGGCTCTCATACAGTACGAGTTGAAAGTCGGAATATTTGAACGGCCATACAGAAGTTTGAAAGTGCTTCTCATGCTTCTCATGCCAGAGCTGAGACACCTCGAGCTGTGGATTACCGACCAGAAATCAACGCCGTTTCTTTTGACTGGTGCATTTGTAGGTGGCCCAGACCACGGTTGTGATGGGTTTGAGCCCACCGAAGAAGCAGGCCAGAGTCATAAAGGTATCCCGAATATCTTCTTTTTCCGCCATCTTGAGTCGGTAGCTCTTATATCCTATGACGACAAACTGGGCTCCCCAATAGGGGTTAGAACAGTCAGTGGTCTCTTCAACCATACAAGCATCAAGGCTCTGAGATTTGAAGGCTTTGCATTGTGGCACTATACTTGTTCGAAGTTGAACTGGAACAGGGCGCCCAGCAACCTGACAAGGCTCGACCTTCTGAACTGCACACTAGAGCCCATGTCCCTCCAATGCATCTTGCAGAAATGCACAAGCCTCACCCATCTCAAGCTGGCCCTCATAGGCAACGGAGACCATAAAAACCCCACTCACAATCTTGAGCAGTTTGGCCATGTTCTCAGAGTGTATGGGCGAAATTTGGTTGAGCTTTCAATCAAGAGCTCAATGTGGGATCCTCACATCGCTGATTGGAGGAACTACATCGGAAGTCTAAGAAAACTGAAAGTTCTGAGGCATCTATCCATCGGGAGGCTCACCTTTGTTGGGCCCATAGACAATGAGAATAAGAGGTACATCACTATACACGACAAACTTCCTCTGTCCTTGGAGACTCTCACCATTGAAGCAGAGGTGTCGGGCTGCGCATGTGACATGGATAGAGTCAGAGAGACAGAAGAGCTAGTCTGCGACATGCTCGAGCATGAACCAGTCCCGCTGAGCTTGAAACAAATCAACATGAAGCTGCTACCGGGGCCGGAGGCTCGAGGTTTTGAAGTGATAGAAGCTGATAACCTTAGGGGCTGGCAAATCAGGAAAAAAGGTCTATGGGTGCAAAAAAGCAAGAGGAGAAGGGAGGACGAGGACGAGGATGAAGATGAAGATGAAGATGAAGATGCAGATGCAGATGCAGATGAAGATGAAGATGAGGATGAGGTTGAGGATGAGTACGCGGATGAGTACGCGGATGAGGAAGAGGAAGAGGAAGATAAGGAGAATGAGGAGGGAGATAATGAGTATGATGAGTATAAGGAGTGGTCGGAGTGTGAAGAGGATGAAGAGGATGAGGATTTTGAAGAGAGCAAAGGATACCAAGTGGTTCAATTCATCACCAGTGCGACTCGGGTTAGATATAGTACCTAGTTCTAGACAAAAACCCTCGTATATCTCATTTCAAGTACACGATCAATATGAAAGGTCCATTGCTCTGATCATCTTCTCTTTGTTTTTACAATTGCTGCGGAGCCAAGATATCACATCCCACCACCATTATTATAAGGCTGGGTGTTTGTTCATTATTTCCGTCGACCCGCTGTGATATTAATAGGACTTAAACAAACTCAATTATTTCCGTCAAACTAAATCAAATCGAAATATAATTACAGTTCCACTCAAGAAACTTCAGCGCTGATTCGTTCTGGTCTCTCGGTAATTCTTGAAGCTGAGTCATGGCCTAGCCCGTTAGATCATCGCCAGAGCTTAAACATCGAACCACTATCACTATCCTCAGATAACGAGCCCAAATGGAGAGCGTACTTCCTAAACTAAGGTCAATTGGATCTGCTCGGAATGCTAGTACCTTGATACGGGCAACATCTTGTATAGCTTGCTCTTCTTCGGCACCGAGGAGCTTCACAAGCTTGAACCGCCCCCCGCCAAACTACCCAGGCCATGTTCCTCTGACGAGAGTTGAGCGGGCTGGGCTGGCCATTGGGGCCAGCGTCATGTCTTTTTTCGATCCCTATCGCCATGGTATGCGGTTTGATTTCCTGCAGGAGCCCTCTGTTTCTCTAGCTGATCACCCCCAGACCTCATCGCTGCTACAGGCGAAGCCACAGCTACACCCTACTTTATCTACCGCCTGCGCGACGCCATGCTTGCAGATCCAACCGGCCGTCGTATCCTCCGAGCTCGACCTCGAATCTCCTCCAAAACCCTCTCCCTCGAAGCTCTACGTGCGCTACCCGAAAATTCCGTTGGCCGCGCCTACGTAGGCTGGCTCGATCGCGAAGGCGTCTCCCCCGATACCCGAGCTACGGTGCGATACATCGACGACGAAGAGTGCGCATATGTCATGCAGCGATATCGCGAGTGTCATGACTTCTACCACGCTCTGACTGGCCTGCCTATCGTGCGCGAGGGTGAGGTTGCTCTCAAGGCTTTCGAGTTTGCGAATACGTTACTTCCCATGACGGGATTAAGTATCTTTGCGGCTGCTACCATGAAGAGGAGTGAGAGGCAGCGATTCGCCTCGATATACCTACCCTGGGCTCTGAAGAATGGGGCACGGAGCAAAGAAGTCATCAATGTCTTTTGGGAAGAGAGACTTGAGGATGATGTTAGTGACTTGAGAAAAGAGCTGGGTATTGAGCAACCGCCCGATATGAGAGACATACGAAAGAGGGAGAGGGAGGAGAAGAAGAGACTCAAAGAGTTGAGAGAGCAGGGACTATAATTTCTGCTTGGTCTCTCCCATCTGACTTCTCTTGCAATACTTGTACTCTACTGTATTACATGTCAAATTTAGAATTGCCAATTAGCGTTGTTATTGAGGCCAAAATTACTGTTCCAAGATTCCCCGACTTGTCAAGTCGATTGAACCATGCACGTCATGAAATCATACGAGCAGACAAAGCAGATTTTCCCTTCAAGGTCTGAGGAACAACCCATATTCTGCACCTTGAGCCATCACATTCATTTTGTTTCCTTTTACTCGAGACAGAAAAGCAGGTCCCGCCCACGAATTTGCCTTATTTCCTCACTCTGATCTTCGCAATGGTATCACAGGCACCTCTTACAGGTCCAAATCATCGTCATCGTCCCACGCCTTGCGTCTGCTCACAACAATCTTCTCCTCCTCCTTGCTCTCCGACATAGCGTTGAGAAGCTCCTTGAGTTGTGCCTCAGTGACCTTCTGTCGAAGCTGACCGGTTTGCGCAAGTGTGATAAGTCGGTTCTCGATGTCGGCGGCGCGCTCCTCCTTCACAAGTCGGATACGGCCTAGACGGTCGGCGGCTTCGGGATGGAGGATCTGGTTGAGGATGTGTTGACGAGCTTCATTTTGCTGCTGTCTATTTCAAGGTCAGTAAAATAGTGTCGCACGGTATGAATCGAGACAACTGACTGGCGCTGCTGTTGTTGTTCCTGACCAGAAGAACCGCCTCCACTACCACCGGCTTCAGCCTTCAGTTGCTTCAGGCGAGCTTTTCGTAACTGCGAAGAACATCAGTGATGAATTCCGATGAGGCCGCAAGAGTGGGCTACCTGTTCTAACTCTGCGTCGTCCATGATTTTGATATGTGACGTTCTTCAACGTTTTGGTGAGTCGCGAGATCAGCCTGACGCCGCGGGGCTGCTTTGCACATCGTAGGAGGGGCATTAGGTTACGTAAGCCAAACCAAGCAACACATTAAACATCATGATACTATTGATTTGGTGTCAAATATCCTGTCAATTGACAAAGAGTTTTTGACTGTCTTCTGCATGAGTAATTCAAGCGCTATTGTGAAATCTTCAACCGTATATAGAACGCCCCAAGTGCCAAAGATGCAATTCGTTAACACCCTATTCTACAATAAGGCATCTTACAATATGCGCTGCTGAAACTTCTGCCTAAAAATGTCTGGTGATGCCTCCTGGACGGGTATGAAAGACTGCAACCTTTTCACTTCTTCAATACGTCGGGCCTTAATCATCTGAACCATCAGTTGATTTCTGGGCGTGTCTATGCCGAGAGTCCTAGCCCGCTTCAAGAAGTATCCATTTTGATAGTTAATGTCTGTTTGCCGACCCTTGTTGATGCGTGTCAGCAGATCACTGGGGGCTTTGCTCTTGCCTGTGATGCGACGGTAGCAGAACCTTTTGAGGCCTTCTCCACGGAGGAACTTTAAGAGGTCGGGCGAGTCTTGGACCTCCGGCATGTTCTCCGTCACTAGAGCCAGTTCCCCTAGAAGCTGATCCATCAGCCTTTGAGCGTTTCTATTTTCCAACAGACCTTGGTATGGGAGGTCAAGAAGCACACAAACGGGCTCAACAGCAGCCGTGAACATAACGGAGGGTAGTTTGAACCTTAGCCAATGCTCGAAAGTACTGAAGGTTGTGTTGAGCTCTTTGGCCTTCCTCAGCGAGCGCATCATACTAGGCTGCTGCTCAGCAGGGATGTAGAGCTCCTTCTCGACATTTAGTACCGGATCGGCCTTGGTGAAGACTGTTCGCCCACTCCTTAGCTGCTTAACAGAATCCCTGTTCCGGTTGAAAGCGAGTGCGTGCGACATATGGCCCAAGTAAAAATTGGGCTCAGGCTGGGTTCCGTTAAAGAGTTGTTCGCGGACTTGCTCGAGCACTCCCATGCCGTCGTTAAGAAGACAAATCGATGTTTTATCGTCGATTCGATCCTTGACTGAAGCGATCGCTTTAACAGCCTCATAGCCACGGCCGGTAACTATCAACTCATCGATATGGGAGCGGTCAGATTGAGGTGCAGCATCGTTCTCAGAGATGGCTGCATTCTTCTCGACATATGCATTCTTCCTTGTCCGTTCAGGTTGAACCTTTTCGATATTTCGATATCTTGACTTGGGCATCTCGCGAAGTGGCACCGTCTCAACGGAATCATAAACGCTACATAGAGCGTGGGCGATGAATCTTGATCTAACATCTTCGCCCAGGATATGAATCTTATGTACTGGTCCAGATTTCGCTGCTTCAGCTGGAATGACAACCGAGGGGACGTAGAATTGCGACGAAGGGCTTGTTGATGTAGGCTTGATAGATCCAGCTTGGGTACTAGAGCTTTTCCATGGCCGTGATGGCGCACTGCTGAGTTCTGGGGGTACGGCTTCTGGTTTCCGTTGTTCTGTCGGAGGCACTGCCGAAGCAAAGGGTCGTGTATAGCCGAAACTGGGGCTACTTCGGAGCCATCGGGTCGATTTTCTCGCTATTTGAGTGGTCGCCCGCGTCTTCATTATGATTTCCAGCTTGAAGTTGGTGATCGAGTCGTCGTGGAGAGAAACGGTGGCTCAGAAGCCGAAAGATCGAGGTTTAATATGTGCACGCGCGCATCCAGACTCGAGCGAGGGGCGATGGAGGCTAGCCTTTGAAACTCGGTTTTTGGTAGGTCTGATTAACAAGATATCGATTTCTTAATTCGTCTGTTCCTGAAGGCGTTGAGTTGCGTTAGAGCTGGTGAGTCGATACTAAAATTGGTGATGCGTTGAAGAATGGCACAGCCGAGTCCGTTTTCCCATTTGTTTCGACTTAGACCAGGCCAATTAGAGTAACAAGAGCCTAATAAGTTTTGATGATCAATAGTGGGGTTCAAAAGCATCAATAATTGGCCAATGAGTGCTCGGCTCCGATATCGTTTGGTCTGATGCTGAAAATAGCCGGTGGTGAAGGCTACACAGCATGGAAGGATCATGTAACAGGATTCGTGTACAGAGTTCACTGAAAGGAATCCAAAATTCATGAAAAGCTTCCACTTTCAGCATTCTTTTGTTTTCAGCTTAAGGAAGTTCTCGGACTGTGATACCCTTTAGTTGCATTACTTCGGTTCATGAATGTAAAAGCCACTAAGCCTTATTGGGTCTCATGGTTGACAAGTTTCTGCGCCTGTGCGAAGTCTTTCATGCGACGACGTGAACATCGCAACATTGCGCCTCTCAACATTCCTAGTCACAGAACTCAACATGACAGACGTTAAGGACATCACACCGGATCTCGATCGGCTGGATAATCAGCTTGATGCTCTTGAAGAAAAACTACAGCCTTTGTTGGGCAACCTCGAAGGCATGGCCTCTCAGTTGCCCCTATTAGACAAGGCGAAACTGTTCTCACTTACAGCTTACGCGATCGAATCCCTAATGTTTTGTGAGCTCTCTTTCACCTGACACGACGCCACATGATCAACACTAACATTCGCGATAGCATCACTGAAATTAAATGAGGGCAATGAGGCTCAAACACAAGCCGTTCTTACTGAACTCAAGCGAATTCAGCAATATTTTGAAAAGATCAAGAACATCGAGTCTCCTCCGGAGCCTGAAACGCGTACCTTGACTATTAACCAGGAGGCTACCGCGCGTATCCTCAAGGCGGACCTAGTATGTAGCGACGAAGCCATGACAGATCCAAGACTGACCTTTTACAGGGCGACAACAAAACAATCAGCAGTAAGCTTGCCGAAAAGATTGCAGAGGAACGAGCCAAGGCACTGCTCAAGTCTGTTGAGAACCGAAAGCGACCAGCAGAGGAGTCGCCCGTTCCATCTCAGCCCAGCTCTTCTGCTGATGGAAAAGATAAGAACAAGAAGAAGCAGAAGAAGAACAAAAAGAACAAGTCGAAAAACTGAATTTCACAGCAGAATTATGATGCTGACGGGCCAAATGGTTGGAAATCGCACAGAAATCTGGCGCCAGCTGTTGATGGTCGAATTCAGAGTATGCAGCTTCAGGAGGAGGCTTACAATGATACCCAGATTGTGTCAGGCAAATAGATGGTTGGGGACCTATACGGTCCCCTTGAAAAGTTGAATTCACTGGGCATGGCGTTTGGGAACTTGGGTTTGACTTTTGCTTTGGGGAGATAGTGATGAGACAACTACACTTAGACATCGGACTCTTCTGAAACGCAGCTTGCTTCCGAAATTTGCTTTCTTGCTGGATACAGTGAAGTTTGCGTCTAGAGGGGGCACGACTTGTGTTTCAATTGACATATGCTTGTAGTCTCAACTGCGAATAACACTTCTAGCTCACGCTTTAAGACATCAATACCATGATGACTGACTAATTGTTACAGCATAAAGCTGATAAGAGGAAAACCTAGATGATGACTCCTTGGCCGGCTTTGGAGGCGTATAAAAGGTTCCAATCCCTCGGTCAAGAAAGATTAAGATAAGACATACAATTACAAATAGCTCCTTACTGGACAACATCTCCCTTGTCATCCGGCATCGCATTAGATTTATGGTAAAGTTGAGCTCTTATCGCTTTAATACGTGGAAAGATAAGCCAGAGAGGTGACTAACAATTTTTCACCCCACCATTATCGGACGTGAGTCAAGGGGAGCAATCGCGGGGCACCACAACCCCTCCAAGTTCCTACCCAAGGCCGCGATTCCTGTTTTCGCATCGATTGAAGCAGAAAACAAAGCAGAGCATAAAATGGCGGTTATCTACGTCGACGAAGAAGCCGGAAGCGATCTCCCCGAGATTCAGGGCACTGAGGCCGCCCCCTTCAAGTCTCTTCTTGAAGCCTACTACCGCCACGGAGCCGAGTCCGAGTACCAGGTTAAGAAGAAGGATGATGAGGAGGGTTACAAGCCTGCTGCCAAGTCAGCCCTGAAGAAGGCTGTCGCCTACGCTGCTCAGCAGAAGAAGAAGGCCGAGGCTGCTGCTAAGCGAGCTGAGAAGGATGCTCAAGACGAGGCCGCTCGTCTGGCTGTTCTCGAGGAGGCCAAGAAGCTGAAGATCACCAACGACCCTTCACTTCCTGAGCCTGTCGCGATCAACCTCCAAGAGACCGACCCTTCAAAGATTGGTACGCTCCGAAAGAGCAAGGATGAGCCCACTGAGGGAGTTAAGCGCGTCTCCGTTCAGGGCCGTGTCAACCGTGTCGCTAAGCAAGGTGGTCTTATCTTTGTGACTCTGCGCCGCGGTCTCAACTACATGCAATGTCTCCTTTCCGGAGATCTCTCCAAGACCTACGATGCCCTTACTCTTTCACGAGAGACCTCCCTCGAGATCATTGGTGAGCTTTGGGAGGTTCCCGCCGGTGCTCACGCCCCTCTCGACCGAGAACTTCGCGCCGACTACTTCAGGGTCATCGCCAAGGCCCCTGGTGGTGATGAGGCCTTCACCAACTTGGTTCCCGTTGACGGTGATACCAACACCCTCATGAACCTCCGCCACCTTACCCTCCGCCACGAGAAGCCCGCCGCCGTCATGTTCGTTCGCGACATCGTCGAGGACGCTTTCCACACCGTTTACAAGGAGTTGGATGTCAAGAAGGTCAGCCCTCCTGCTCTTGTGCAGACTCAGGTCGAGGGTGGCTCTACTCTTTTCAAGTTCGACTACTATGGCGAGACTTCATACTTGACTCAGTCCAGTCAGCTTTACCTCGAGACTGTCCTACCTGTCCTTGGTGACTGCTACTGTATTGAGAAGTCTTTCCGTGCTGAGAAGTCCCTTACCCGTCGCCATGTAAGTACCCATATGAGGCAACAAGCTAGATATTATATCCAAGTGATCGCATCTAACTTCAATGCAGCTTTCTGAGTACTCCCACGTCGAGGCTGAACTCGATTTCATTACCTTCGACAACCTCCTGGACCATCTTGAGCACGTCATCTGCCGTGTGATCGATCTGACACTCGAGAACCCTGTTGCCGCTGAGGCTATCAAGAAGTACAACCCTGACTTCGAGAAGCCTTCTCGACCTTTCTTGCGCATGCGATACTCCGATGCCATTGATTGGCTGCGAGAGCGTGGTATCAAGAACGAGGATGGCAACGACCACACCTTTGGCGACGATATGTAAGTGTTTCGCCAATTTTGAATACACACAGACTGACTGGAGGCCAGTGCCGAGGCTGCTGAGCGCAAGATGACCGACGAGATCAACCGCCCCATCTTCCTCACTCACTTCCCCGTCGAGATCAAGTCCTTCTACATGTCAAGGGCTAAGGATGACCCCCGCGTGACCGAGTCCGTCGATGTTCTGATGCCTGGAGTTGGCGAGATTGTCGGAGGCAGCATGAGAATTTGGGACTATGAGGAGCTCATGGCCGGTTACAAGCGAGAGGGCATTGATCCTACAGGATACTTCTGGTACACTGACCAGCGCAAGTACGGATCTACTCCTCACGGAGGATACGGTCTGGGAGCTGAGCGGTACGTTATTCGGTACTTTTATGATTTGATGTATACTGACAACTGTCCAGATTCCTGGCGTGGCTCCTCAAGCTCTGGACTGTCCGAGAAGCTTGCTTGTATCCCCGATACATGGGCAGATGCACACCGTAAACGCTGCGCTTATGAGATGTATAACGAAAATGGAGTACGGGGCATTGATATAGTAGAACAGACCGCTCTAGAGTTAACGTCTAGAATGAAATAGCGAAACTGCTTTACTCACTGTTTGTCATTTACATCGGCACAAGACTTATATCGGATAGTGAAATGCCCGATATCTCCGTCGTTGAAAGCGGTCGTAATCAATCGTAGCCTTCACTAACCTCACCTATGACTCAATTAATGGAGGTGCCCACTAAAAAGTTGCCCAGCGGCTGTCAACGGAAGGCCCTGGAGTGCTCTGGGCCCCTGGCGCCTGGGGGAATGCCTCTACCGAGGCCCTACTGGCCAATCTTCCCCGTCCCTCGTTGAAATTTGCCCCTCGTGATTGGCTGTTTTGATATGCGCCTCCGAAATCCGTGCCTCCGGTATTCTTTCTTTCCGATCTTTCTCCTCATAACTCAACATCTCGAACTTTGTTCTTCAACACTTCCATAACATCGCATCACCAAATCTCCCACCGAAACCTCACAACACTACAACCACAATGCCTCGTCAACGATCCGTCGGCCGCGCTCCTTCGCGCCCTACTGCTGCTGCTCCCAAGCCTGCTCCTCAGCAGACTCGCCCTGCCACCACCCACGCTGCTCCTCCCGCTGCGGCTCACCCTCCCGCCCAGGCCATGCCTCCTCAGGCTGCCGGTTCTCAGGGCCCTGGACTGTTCGGTCAAATGGCCAGCACTGCTGCGTAAGCATCCCCTTGTGAATCTACAACAATTGGTGTATTCGGAGTTCCAAGTTCCGGGTGGAGCAATGTACTCCAAAGCACCTGTAGAGCTCATACTTCGAACACGTGTAGCTAACTTGTTCTCAGTGGTGTCGCTATCGGTTCCTCAGTAGGCCACGCCATCGGCGGTCTCTTCTCCGGCGGTTCCTCCGAGGCTGCTGCCCCCGTCCAGGCCCAGGCCGCTCCTCAAGAGCAGTCCTGGAACCAGAACAACTGCGCTGGTGTCGCGCAGAACTTCACAAAGTGCATGGATGAGAACAACGGAAACATGCAGATCTGCAACTGGTACCTTGAGCAACTCAAGGCTTGCCAAGCCGCCGCTGGTCAGTAAGCATGGACGAATTAGAGGTTGAAAAGAGAACAAAAGGGACTTGATATCACTATGGGAAAGGAAACAACATCGGGGATATATATCTCCTGACAGCGTGCATATAGGAATCCGGTGGGGAAATATTACTGCTACATCTCAGCACTGTCAATTGTATAATACAACAAAAAAAGACATTACTCCCACTCAAATTGGGAAACCCCTTCATTCATCTTTCTCCTCCTCTTCTGGCCGTGGCTCAAAGTTCAGCTTTGTGGTGTTAGCAAGTTCATGATACAGAGTGGGATACAGGGTCTTACCGAATTTCCATTGTACAACTGTTGATCTCTTTGCTGATCTCTGCGATTCTGGAATGACTGAACGCGGTCTTGAGAACTGGCGGGCGCATCGCTCGTAGGCCCTCGGTGCCCACTGCGGTCATCACCACCTCCGAACAGACTGAAGATCCATGTGAAAATGCTGAGAATGAATGCAACAACTCTCGAAACAATGCCCTGTGAATCGTCGTAGGCGGTCGTAAACTTTGTGACGGGAATAAGCACCAATGTCGAAGACGGAAAGAGGCCGAGATCTCCTAACGGCTTGTCCTCCTCAGTCTCATCAATGTTCTTATTCGGTAGAGGCGTGAGGACCTGCTTGAATGTGTATGGCAGCGAGCCATCGCCTCTGTTTTCATCCACCCATTGTCGAACCTCTTTTAGGTGCGCAGTCGTCTTGAAGCGGTTCCTCAATGTTGATCCATCGAACAAGCGGACTTGAAGAGCCGTTATCGCGCCAGACTTGGAGGAGTTTGACAGCTTTGTCTCTGGTGCGCTCACTAATGCCGCAGCGACGTCGCCGCCCTTGAGGTTATCAAGTTTCTGCTTCTCACGCTGCTCCGCACGGAGGCGTCGCTCTGCCTTGTCGTCTTCGATGCGCTTCAGGATCCGTGCCTTCTCCTCTTGGTCTTTCTGTTTCTTCTTCCTTACTGCCTCAGCTTGCTTGTGAGCTCGGGCGTTGTCCGTATCCATACCAGCTTCAGCCTCAGCTTTGGCTTTCTCTTTAATCCTTGCGCGTTCCTCCTTCACCTTACGCTCATTCTCCTCCTTTTGGGCTTGCAGCCTGGCAGCCCTCTCAGCTAGTATCCGACGAACATTCTCTGATGTTGAAGGAGCCGCTGTTGGTGGAGTGTTCTGCTGTTCTGAAGCTGCGGGTATCTCTGTCTGGGGCTGCGGTGGGCTGGCCTGCTCTGGTGCCGGGGTGGATTGGGTTGTAGCTGGAGCTGGAGCTGCAGGTGCAGCTGTGGAGTTAAAAGCAGTCTGAACTCTCCGCAAGAAATCGTCTTTGCTGGTCCCCGGTGTGATGTACTCCTTTAGTTCTCCATTCTTGATGATAACAACAGTCGGAGTCCGTGGTAGAGGGAAGATCTGAGCTAGATATCCGGCTTCCTCGGACCCAGCTTTGAGACGCAGCGCAATAGAATGCTCCTTGAGTAAGTCGCTCAACTACACCGTAATTAGCCCCAATCACATATGATCTGCAGATTTCCATGATCCCTACCGTATCATCGACCAGAAACTCATTTTCCCATTGTGTGCTCTCGTCGCTTTCATCTGAAATGCATGTGAGTTATTGCGTGGGCCTGGGTGATGACAAACATACCTGTCACGAAACATAGGACAAGTTTCTGCTGACCCACGGCTGTCGAGATGCCTTCCTGAAGAGTTCCTTCATAAAACATGGTGAATTATGTGGAAGTTGATGAGCTCTTGGCTTAGATTATGGAAGAATTGAAAATAGTGGGTGAGTGGGCGATTGTGAGCAAGATAAAGTTGCGACGTGTTGTCAAGGTTAGAGCTGTCTCGTCTTGACTTCTACTCCCTTGAGAATTGGTGAATATTTGTCATGTAAGTAAAGAAGAAAGACGTCTTAATTAGTGGTGTAGCAAGTAAATGGGACGGTCAAATAAGTAAAGCAAAAAGTTAATGGCAAGAATCAACTCCGATCATGTCTGATTAAACAAGGCTTGAATGGATGTAAACCAAGCCATCATGAGTGAAGGCAGAGCAGCTATGAGAGCTAAGTTAGCTATGACGCTTATGGCATCACGTGGCCCTAGCTTCAGCGCCGACCTTCGGGTTTCGGGGGCTTACTCAGCGGTATTGAGCTCGCCATCCAGTAGAAACTTTGCAAAGGATCTAACATGGGAGAGTGAATGAATGAGTCAAAGGGAACATGTAATATATATTTTTGCTGGTCCGACCTTTCTTTTCTTTCTTCTAGCTTCTCCTTGTGAGAGTGCATTTAACCCAAAATGCTCATTGATCCTGCTTTTCTGCCATGGGCAGAAAGTAAAGGAGTCAAACTAAAAGGTGTTGAACCTCGAATTCTTCCAGGTCGTGGTATTGGTATCGTCGCAACTCGCGATATCAAGGTGAGCAATAGATCTCCTCTCAAAATTATTCTAATATTTTCAAGCCAAATGAAACGATTTTGAGTGTACCAATGAAGGCAGTTCGCACCATTGATACAGTACCAAAGAACATCACGGAAGCCCTTCAAGGAGTCTCAGTTCATGGCGTCTTGGCTGCTGAAATTGCTCTTGACGAAAGTGATGACTTTTCTGTATGGAAAACAGTTCTGCCAACCCGGGAAGATCTAGAGGCCGGTGTGCCCATGATGTGGCCGAGTGAACTCCAAGCCCTTCTCCCCAAGAGGGCCAAGGACATCCTGGATAATCAGAATGCCATATTCAGACGCGAGTGCGAAATTGTTCTAAAAGCATTCCCCAAGTTGACCAGGGATGAGTACTTGTACTCTTGGGTGCTCATCAACACCAGAACCTTCTACAACAGCATGCCCAAGATGAAAAGCTACGCTCATGCTGACCGACTAGTCTGCATGCCAACAGCCGACCTGTTCAATCATGCTGACCAAGGATGCAAGCTCGCCTATTCAGCCCTAGGATACAGTGTTCAGTCGGATAGAGTCTATCGCCAAGGTGAGGAAGTCTACGTATCGTATGGGCCTCACTCAAACGACTTTCTTCTTTCCGAGTACGGTTTCATTCTAGATACGAATCGCTGGGACGAGGTCTACCTAGATGAAGTGATTCTTCCGATGCTGAACAAGACACAGCGTGCCGACCTTGAAAGTATCAACTTTCTTGGAAGATACACTCTCGATGACCAGACATTAGGCTGCCACAGGACTCAGGTCGCTCTGCGAATGCTATGCTGTACACAAAGGCAATGGCAGCGGTTCTTCGATGCTCAGGACGAGGGGCGTTCGTCGCAGGCTGAGGTTGATGAATTACTGTTGACCGCATTGAAAGACTTTTTGAACATCATCGGAAAGACTCTGGGTGATATAGATGAGGTAGAAGGCGGCTCGAGTAGCCAGCGGGAACTCTTGCGGCGCAGATGGCAGCAGATTGAGGCCATGGTGACCAAGACGATAGATACACTTTCATGAGTCTTTCTGTATGTATCCTAGTATCTGCATTGGATAATTTATAATCATGGTTCATTTCGGAAGCTCAAGTAATGCCCACTGCGATAGCATTTCTGTATGATTGAAGAGGAGCAGTGGGTTCCGTATCGGCGATGGACTGTATTGTCTCGCAAGCTATATCGCCAAGTAGTATGATGTTGAATCTAAAAGCCAAGAGACATGTCGACGAGTTTATTCATGAGTCATTGTCATTCAGGAAGATACCTACAGTATACGACAGGGGGTCAATTATCCCACTGGAAATATGCCTAGATAGGTAGGTAAGTAACAAAGATAAGCCAAGATCAAACTACTGCCGGTTATGCGGTTTGCAGATCACGGATCGCAACCTAAGCTGTTAACGATGACCATCGCCTATTATGCATGCATACCCGCACTTGGTTCCTGGAGCGGTAATAACACCATCCGGCCCAAAAGATTCGGCCCCGTTTTCAAGGTTGTCGGCTGCCAGAAATCTTAGTACTCAAGTTATGCCACGAATGGCGATGTTTGGGGGTCGTTCTCACATGTCTCAACAGAAAGACAAAACCCCACGATGGAAATAAAGGCAATAGTAGGTAAATGCCTCTGGTTGTGCCGTAAAAGATCCCTGTTCAGTACGGTACTTGTTGGTATTTGTCATTGGTCCACGACCGCGGTTACGTTTTGGCTAAGTAGACTTAGTATAAGCGCTACCAATATAATAAATCGATGTCGTACGATAAGTTCGGCCACCTCCTACCGACAACAGGCACAGGCACAGGCACAGGAACAGGCACAGGTCGGTTGGGCTCCAACGGCTTGGGGAGAAAAGCTTAGGGCTCAATAGTTGTGAATGTTCTCACAAGTCATTTGCTTGCTTTCTTTTGCTTGATCCCAATGCCAAGTTCACACAAACTTATCACTAGCTTTTCCCGGAGAGTAGAGACAACTAGCCAAATGCTAGCAAAGACTCCAAGCAACACATGTTTCTCTCAACAAGCATCTTCCCAGTTGTCTTCACTTACGTAGACTGGTGTTGTTGGGCACCACAGACGCCATGCAAATGGTCTCGACTAGTTAGACATGTCTGATTGGTGATATCATAAACCATCATAAGGCAATCCGGCTTGGAGAGCATGAGGCTGCAGCAAGCATCTGCTAAGAAGCCCAAGACCACACTCTTGTTTGGCTATAGATGCAAGCCATAGGGCAGCAAGTAAGGTTGCATGATAGCACACACTATATATATCGGCGACTCTCCTCGTTCACCTCGTTCAACGTAAAGTTTCCAAACTTTACTCGCGACTTAGACCCAACGGCGGGAGTCACTAACTCGTTTGAGCTTGACACCATTCACACTGTGCCTTAGGCAGTTCTCAAAGAAGCCGCCTCTAGTGAGAGTCGAAACATCCATTGGCCGCTTTTACGGGAATATCGAATAGTCTAAGCCGGAAAGAGCCTCAGCTGCAGAACAATATCATATCATTATTGTTCGGAGAACAAGAGTCGAGAACTGATGATAGTGACCAGGGTGATCCTGGTTGCTTCACATCCCCGCAAACCTTAAGCCACCGACATCACTTGATTGCATCTCCTCTCTTGATATCATCTCATCTATCATCAAATAAGAGGCCAAAGACTCCGAGACTGAAGACTGAGACAGACAGACATCCAACGAATCATTTCACTATGGCTTCCTGCAACACCTGCCACAAGGAGGAACCTGCAGTTCAGCTCAAGCGGTGTGCCAAGTGTTCCACTACGCAATACTGCTCTCGGGAATGTCAAAAGATCGACTGGAAAGTCCACAAGAAGATCTGTGGCAAGCAGGCAGATTCAGTTGCCAGTGCCAACGTCCATGATCCAGACGAAATGAGCCAGTCTCCAAAGAAGGGACTGGAAAAGTCTGTTCCCAACCCCTTTACCCGTCTCGATAACGGCACTTACCTGCACAACCGTCCTGAAAAAGACGTCTATCGACTTCTGATTGACACCTATCGTCTCCGCATGGACGACATGTACAACCTTGAAGGTCAAGCAGATTCAGACAGTCTCTACGGCGGTGCTTCAAACGGACTTCGAGGTTTTCAACGTTTCTTACGACAAGCATCAGTCCGAAGAGGGTTGCTTCCTTCATGGTGGACACCAGAGAAGCAACAGGAGTGTGAGCAATTGGGAATGGATTCAAGTCAGTGGCAGAACTTGAAGAAGAAGACGAGTAAGCAGGAGATCATTGACTACTATGGAGATCCTCGTTTCCCTATGCAGTTGCGTATGGTTGGAGAGGCTGTGTATCTGAGCGCCCCTGGAGGAGGTGATGGTTCACAGATGAGAAAGATGATGGCTGCGATGGAGGGGGCGGAATGGAAGGGATGGGGATGAGCTTGATGGATGCTTCATCACTCCGTCGCTGAGGGTGTTAGAGCACATCTGGATAAAATGTTCTGCAAAAGTTGTATAAGGAAAAACGTCTCATTATGTCACAAAGTTGACCGATATTTAGTTCCACGTCCATATTGACGGATTGGTGCCTAGCACACATCCTAAAACCCTTGAAAAGTCAAACATTCAAAGTCAAAAGAAGTTCTCCATCCATAGACCCTTGGAGTTCCCAACTCAGTCCAGTCCGCTGCGAGTTCCAGCTCCGGGACACGATCAAACCGCGCTCCAAAAACGACATGGTCCGACTCCATCACGACAGCAATCCTGGCCAGGTTTTTCCCAGTATGGCTGGGGTTGCTGCAGTCCCTCGCGATGATGACTCTCTGAATCTCAAGTCTCCCAAAGTAGGGGATCACCGCTTCATACGCTCCACACCAGATGTAATCCTTTTCGTTTGCGCAAAACAGAATCCTGAGAACGAGGCAAGCCTGCTTGGCAAACATATCGTCATATACCTTGGTCGTCTTCTGGAACCTGTCTCCCAGCTCGTCTATCATTCTCCAGAGAGGTCTGCTCTCTTCTTCCGACATGGGGTTTGCCCTGTGTTTGATCACAGCAATCATTAAGAGCGCAGCCTTGAAGGCAAGGAAATCCACAAAGTCAGCCCTCACCACCGTTTCCTTCTCGAGCTCCGGGGATCTCATGGCTTCTTGCGCCTTTATGATCTCCTGTGCCGATGCTAGTATCGCCTTCCTTGCAGGCTCAAAGTCCTCAACTTTCCCACGGTTCATGTTTGAGAGTTGGCATTTGGGCCAGTTCAGCATGAGCTCAAATGAGTGGTAGAGGATCTTGATTTTGGCACGGATGGAGGCCTGTGGGAGGTGGGAGACATATCTCGGGTGTCCTCTCGTCCAATGCTCCGGAATCATGTAGTCCAATTCCTTCAGCTCTTCAAGGGTGCGTGTGATGGTTGCACTAGTGGTGTCTTCTTTCATCAGGGTTTGGCTTGTAAGAAGACCTGATAGCATGGCTATCTGGCGAATAGCCTGCTTTTCTGCGAGGGGGTATTTTTCCAGAAAAACGATGGGCCCCAGTTGCGCGGGGACTGCATGAGGCATTCCGAGGAAGAGTGAAAGCTGTCGGTCTTGAATCCACAACTCTTCCCAAATGGCTCGATGCAGGCTAGATCGGCCCTGGTGTACTCCCAGGAGCATGGAGTTCTCAATGGCAGTCCTGATGCACTTCCATGCCTTGGTCGGGCAACCTATGGCAAGGGACAGCTCGCCTTGAAGGAGCAGGGCCTGGACAAAGTCGATATTGCAGACCGGTGTTGAGCTGATTCGATACAGAGACTCAACTTTGCCGATACACTTGTTAATAAGTAGCATTGGCTCAAAGGGTGCTGGTGCACGATTGTCGGCGTATTTGAACTTCATCGGTAGCTCCTTGATAGAGAGGCAGAGCCACACTATACATTTTGCGACAGCGCCAGGGTCTGGTGGCTTTTGGAGCTTTGGAGACAGTGACTTCTCAATGAACGTGAGAGCTGAGTTGAGGTCTGTTGGGAATCCAGCATCAAGCACGGTGGCTGTGTTGACAGCGGCAGAGTCATCGTCTTGCTGTTGGTGTAACACCGTTGCTAGAGGCCAGCTCGCCCAATTCTGTGTGAACCTGCTACTGTGTTGCAGAATCCTGCTCAGAGCCGGCTGGTCGGGTACAAGCCCCTGAAGTGATGCCGTCAAACGCGTGTGTGCTGTCTCTGGTATCTGTGATGTAAAGATGGTTAGACTACTTAAGCCGTCATGACCTTCAGAGCCTCCAAAGTGATACCAACCTTGAATGGCTCGCTTACAGCCCGGTAGCTTGGTACGCTTTTGTGTTCAACTTGGTTGCTACTAGTAGCTTGCGCGTCAAGTCTGCGAGCCAAGAGTTCGATTGCAGTCTGCAGAAGAATCATTCGTGACTCAACTTTTCTGGCAAACTGCGTGAACTCTTTAGGCATGTCATCTCTGTCTTCGGAAGATGAGTCGTCGTTCTGCGGCTGGCAGGTGAGGGAGTGTTTGCTGCACTCCTGACACTCAGCCTTGTCGCCGTCGAACAGACACCTCACTTTTCGAAGAGAACATTCGGCACAGCTCTTCGAACCGGTCCGCTCTTGGGGTGGTGGGTTCTCCATGATGCTTGACCATGTAAGTTTTGTCAAGGAAAAGAATAGAGGTGAAGGAGAAGAAGAGAAAGTGAGGCGGGCACCTCAGCCTACTTGTACGCAGGTGATTCGTGGCGTTTCTTGCTTATCTCAACAACATGTATGTCTCAGTTTTATGATGAAACCTGCTTGTAATGCAACGCATCTGTTGAGTGAGAGAAGAGGAAATATTCGTGTTGGTTATTCGGAATCGGACCAAAAGGTCCTCAACATCGCGGGTGGCCGCAGGTGGTTGCAGATGAGCACGAATATTGCTGTGAACCCATCTCCGACCACCCAATAATGAATTCTTAGACAAAAAGCCACTTGGGTACGATTGTCTGAAGCTACGGGTATTAATTCTGTTTTTGCTTTTTTCGGATTTCAAGGGGTAACTGATGTTTGAGGCAAACTCATGGTGCAGCCTTATTTGCTCTGATATTGAGGTTGATGATTCCAGAGACGCTAGGTTACACAACACAGTACGATGTCACACATGATTCCCTTCTTGACTAAGTTGTGTATACACTGTCTTGGACTGTATAGAACCATTTGGGTTCAGCTCGTCATGTGCACATGCAGTGTTACCCGACATTTGTCTGAAATGCCAGCCACTTTCATCCCGGGTGTGCCATGAAGCAATTCCAAAGACGCTGGGTTACACAACACAGTATAATGTCACACATGGAAGCCCTCTTTACTAAGCAGTGTCTGCACTGTATCGCCTAATCCTGATATCAACCAATTATACGCAGTAGTATTGAATCAGGAATATCCCATGTCTTCACCGAAAAACGATGTCAATTTGGGGGTCTAGGGTACGTCAAAAGCGATTCGAAAGACGCTGGGTTACACAACACAGTGTAATGTCACACATGATTCCCCTCTTGACTAAGCAGTGTTTGCACTGTATCGCTTAAATACTGATATCAACCAATTATACGCAGCAGCATTGAACCAGGAATATCTCATGTCTTGACTGGAAAATGATCTCGACTTGGGGGTCCAGGGTAACTATGTCAAAAGCGATTCTCAAGACGCTAGGTTACACAATACAGTATCAAATCGCACATGGAACCCCTCTTGACTAAGCGGCGTTTACACTGTATCAAGAGCCACTTATTCTTCGTGTCAACCAATTGTGTGTAAGACTTACCATACCAGTGTTTTTCAACTTATGACCGAAATACAATTCAACTCGTGGCCAAAGTATCATTAAAGCGTGTAATTGTGCCTGGAAACACGTCATGTAAGTACCAATCATCAGAATAAACACAAAGAACAAGGCAAACAGGCCAAATTGGCAGGAGAGGCAGCAGGAATGGGTGTGTTCTCGCAATTGACATATTAAATCCATTTCAGAGCCCATTTAGCTACTTAGACTTGATACATGGTCATAACTTTCAATTTGCACCCTATTACCATAGATTTGTTGACTGACTGACCCGCGCAAGCTCTGAAAATAATTCCAGGGACGCTGGGTTACACAACACAGTATGTGAGCAAATATGACCCCCTCTTGACTCAGCATATTACACTGTACAAATGTACTGTAACGACCAATAATATTCGTGGATCTAGACTCTGTGTTTGTTATTTGATATCTGGCTGAAACCCACCTGGGTTATTCAATAATACACTTAGAACGATAGGACGTAGTAATTCATAGAAGCCTTCAATTGCAATCACAAAAGCTTTGCCTAAGGTACTGTAAGATATTGGTGAGGTGCAGATCCTTAGTAGGGGATTCAACGTCCAAGGTGGATCTATTCCCGAGTGAACCCACCACAATCGACATCATTAACAGCTAGCTATCACCACTTAATCTCACGCCTTCAATGCGCCATCAGACATAATGAACGCCCCTAATACCGTCTTGCGCAGTCTGCGCATGTCGAAACAGATCCCTCGGTGCACAAGATTCACAAATGCCCCGCCAAGAAGACAATTCACATCATCCTTCTTCCGTCGCAAGCAACAGCCATCAGCCGACGATCCAGAATTCGTCTCTATTCTCGACGGACCTCCAAAGCTTGTCCGTGTTGGAAAACGCCATGGCCCAGGTCTAATCATTCTCGGTATGCTTCAAGAGTCACCAATTGGACAGAGTATGGTCTAATTGATCTAGCTATTATCCCCATCACAGCCTTCATCCTCGGAACATGGCAAGTCCAGCGTCTGGGCTGGAAATCCGAACTCATCGCCAAATTCGAAGACCGACTGATCCGCGACCCTCTACCCCTCCCGCCAACCATCGATCCCGATGCCATCCATGACTTTGACTATCGCCGTGTCGTAGCGAAGGGTCATTTCCGACATGATCAAGAAATGCTCATCGGACCGCGTATGCGAGACGGCACAGATGGATACATGGTAGTCACACCATTGGAGCGAGAGAACGGCACGACAATTCTCGTTAACCGAGGCTGGATCGACAAGAAGCACAGAGATAAGAGGACACGACCTGATGGACTCTCGACGGGTGAGGTCACAGTGGAAGGACTTCTAAGAGAGCCATGGAAGAAGAACATGTTTACGCCAGAGAACCAGCCCGAGAAGGGCATGTTTTATTTCCCGGATGTGAAGCAGATGGCTGCTTTGACCGGTAGCCAGCCTGTCTGGGTTGAGGCTACTATGGGTATGTCTATCATCGTAATCTTCCATTCCGTGATGTCTTGCTAACGACACCAGAACCCGAGTTCATGCAAATGGTCGACTTCGAGGCTCGCGGTATTCCCTATGGCCGACCCGCGGAGGTAAACCTGCGAAACAACCATGCCCAGTATATCTTTACCTGGTAAGTTACCTCATTCATGTCGATCGGCACCGGGCCTTCTAACTCCTTGCTTTAGGTATGGCCTTGCTGTCGCAACATCCATCATGCTTTGGATGGTAGTCAAAAAGCCTGCCAACGACGTCGCTCGTCGTGTAGCCCGCTCCAAGGGCCTGTAAACTGTATATCTAATAACGCATGCACCATGTAAAACTCATGTGTCTTCAGCATCTTCAGCAACTTCTGCCTCGTCGCCTCGGCCCGACACACGTCTTGCTTTGCGTTGCTTAGCGGGTTGCGGAACTGGCATTCTCAGCTCCTGGAGGAGCTCTCTTGGGAGGTGCTTCTGTGCCAAAGAGAACATGGAGGAACGCGGCCCTATCTGACGCTGCCTGTACGATATTAGAATTTCTGGCTAAAACAAAATACGGAGCTGATACCCCAGTAAAATAACATACCTTTTCATGAGTGTGAAGACGTCGCTCTCCTCGATTGTTTTGCGCTTCGCGTGATCCGCATAGGCTCCTAAATCGTCACCCAGCTGCTCGAAGAACCATTCCGAGGACTGAATGAGAGCATCTAATGTCTCCGCCGATAGACGCTGATTGCTCAGACCTGACGATTGGAGAGCCGTCTGGGCCACTCGCTTGACAAAAGCCGGAGGCAGTGACGGGTACTCAATGCCATGTTGTGATATCCGCTTTCGCTTCTTTGCTTTCAAGCCGCGAGGTAGCCTATCATCCGCTGGTTCATGACGCAGCCCGGCTGTGACTGTTGGCTCTGGTATTGGCACTGGCTCTTCATTTATTGAGCTATGATCGTCGAAGCCACCATCGTTATAATCCCAACCGTCCATTCCAAAGTCCCCGCCACCATCATCGGAGTCGGATCCATACGCAACATCGGTGTGGGGATCCTGAGCATCATCTGCTCTGGCTTCTGTGACTGACGGCTCGCCAATTGGTGATGTTGCTTGAAGATCGTTGGCGGGGTCAGACATTTGAAAGACAGTTCCGTCCTCAAGTCCACCGGGATACTCGAAATTAAAGTCGCTTCCTGGACCCTCCGTCATTCGCCGGGTCTGGTCTGCTTCAATCCTGTTTTTATGTGAGCAATACATTGCATCTAATTAGTCAGTTATAGACTTACGGCTCGAGTGTCATATCGTCCTGCCCAGCTCTCGCCTGAAGATCCTCTAGCAGACCGGGGAAGAAATCCGATTGTTCAATATCGCCATCTGTGGCTTCATTGAAGTAGTCGCTCATGCGTTCGCTGCCAGGACTCCCTCGAGATAGCCGAGAGTCATTCGCAATCCTTCGAGGCATCTCAATAGACTGCATAGTAAAGTTGTCCTCATCCAATTGTGACAACCTTGGTGGAGGCAAATCTGAGCTGGTACTAGAAGCGTCTTCAATGTCTAACGGCAAGGATAGTCTTGGTGGCCTCGTGAGTAGATCGTCGTCTTCATCATCATCGTCATCATCATACAAGTTGCTGTCCTCCCTCCGTTCCGGTGACGAGCTCCGTTTATTCCCTGGAGACGATGAAGATGACGAGTGAATAGGCTGACTCTTAGGCGCTAGTGTTCGACCGAGCATTCGTAAAATATCCAAAGGTGTTTCTCTCTGTTGCAACATGCTCTGCCTGCGATTCTTTCCAGGTGTGAACATTGCCGTTCGGCGCTGGTCAAGCAGCCGACGAGCGGCTTTGGCATGAGGAGTCGGCGCATTGGAGCGACCGGCAGATGCTGGTGTACCACGGCGAAGAGAGGCACGCAGATCTCGAGCACCGCTACGGTCGAGGGGTGTGTGAACGCCAGAAAACGGCTCAGCGCTAATAGCTCGACGGTTCGGAGTTCTCGAAGGAGTTCGCGCGTGCGTTTCTTGCGATGCCGCTTTTCCTGGCGGTGATAGACTCGACATATTTGCGGTGGTGTTTGTTTAGATGCGCCGGAATGGCTGGCGGAGCGACGGCCGCTCAATTGGCAGATAATGTCTCGAAATCGTAGAGGTCTTCATCCATAGAATTTGAGTAAGGTCCGGGTGTAGTTCGAGCACAGCGGTTTGGAGAATTATTTGTATTTCCGGTTATTGTTGATGTTATCGATCCATGTCAATGATGAATGTCAATTCAAGACTCAAGTGGGAACGCGACAAGCTTTAGCCATACGCGACGAGGGGAGCTTGAGTGCACGGACCTTCACATAAGGTACCTGCATTGCTGTTGATGTGAATGACCATGGGAGGAAATAAAACTCGGGACCTTTAGGATAAGTTTAGGATACCTTTTATAGAGTTTATTTTAGTACCCTAAACTTAGGTCTTTATGTTTTCTTGCTCCTGTCATTTAAGATCAACGTCCTGTGTTTTCCTCTCCTACCTACCTACCTACCCAGGTGAGGGGGTCTGGGTCAGAGTGTCTGCAGCTTGTTGACAGGAAATTTGACCTCCCTTAGACCTGTAATTGTTATATTATAAAGCCAGTATGCTAAGAGATTCAAGATTTTTATAAAAGAGATAGGTATTAGATCTACTAGTTTATAATAAGCCTTTTTATCATTATTATTATTCTATTAATCTTGAAATATATTACTGTAAGTAATGATACCTTCCTTTAAAGTGTAATACTATTATGCTAGAAGGCACATCTGACCTAGACCCACTCTCACCCGGGTAGGTAGACTGTAAAGGGATCTCTCCATCAAGCAAAACTGCTTCTACGCTCCTTTTATTACACTACCTATTCATCATTCATTCATCAGACACAATAATATAAACATGTTTGCCAGGCAGACTCTGTCGGTCTCTACGGCCCCGTCGCGCGCCTCCCGCACCTCCAGTTCTCAGACTACCACCCCCTGCGGATGCTCCTTTGGGTGGCCAATACCCTTCCCAAGAGCAAATGAATATATACATGTATGAGGCATTGATCTCCGTAATGGCAGCTGAAGAACGAAAGAGGGCTGCTGGTAAGTCTTATCCTATACTGTAGCAAACAGTAACTTACTATCTAGAGGCGGAAACACCATGGATCACAAGAATACTGGGTCGACCACTTTAGAAGGTGGTAAGCGCTTTTAGTGTGATTATTAGAATCCTCGTAAGTTTCTTGGTCTAGATATTCAGATATGATTCTAATTCTATTCCAGATAACTGTCCCTGGCCCTCCAGTCCGTGCTATACCTATGGTTACGCCGATAATAAAGAGATGTTACGACGTTCTATGAAACTTGATTTAAAATCCCAGTACTCATCTGCTGGCTTGATCAGCGATTACTATTCAATAGCGAACTAAAGATTAGGGATTCTGGCCTGGTGGGCTATATATGGTAGATTCAATTCATTATCAGCGATTACTGCCTATTAGCACCTAAAGCAATCATGCAAAGCAGAGCTTCAGAGAGATCCCTTCGCAGTTAATCCAAGATATCCATACCCGCCAATCATGATACTGCTCACAAATCTCCAGGCAGCTGTTCTGGGCACACCAGCCTTAATACAAATCCAACAGTCAGCCGCACCCCACAAGAAGAGTAAGCTCATGAGCGTATCAACAACATGGTATTCACCACGAAGATAGAACGTCCACAGAGCGACGCCATAAGCAGCGACACGAGTGCCGTAGATACCAAATGCTAATTGTGCTGGCTCTGACCTGGCAATGCCCTCAGGCAACCCGTACTCGCGCATAGCCCGGTCTGGGGCTCTCAAAGGAAGAAGACCGCCGAGAGTGAAAGCGGTGCCTATGAACATGGCGGGAATATGCCATGGAGAGACACCAGAGAACAAGCCTGAAGCCATTTTGTGAGATATCAGCCCGAACCTGATGTTTCTATTAGTGTGGTTTCACGTCAACTAGATAGACACTTACCGATTGGTATTACAGCAAAAATGAAAAGAAAAGAAAGTTCAAAACAATGATCGTCCGAGCATTCTTGAAACAAATAAGCTGACGTCTCCATGTAAGCAATTGGAGGAGCTATGTACAGTAAGACGAGATCGCCATGCAATAGCAAAAAGAACCAAAAGAATAAGTACTAGGACCGAGCGTGGATCGAACACGCGACCTAGGGATCTGCAATCCCTCGCTCGTACCACTGAGCTATCGATCCATTTTACTTGTCAGCACCTTCGAAATGCCACTCTATGGAGATTTTCGCAGCGGGAAACAATAACAGTGGCCTGAGCAAGGGTCTAAGCGCCCGGTGGAGGCTTTAACAGCTCGCAACATGCATCCCTGGTCCTCATATCTTTATCTCCAACCTCTTTATTGTTGATCCCTGTCTTGAAGTGGTACCTGATTCTTAACGAAAGAGCTTGTCATGATATCAATTGTTTCTGCTTTGAGGTTGGCGTGAGTCATGAAGGTTGAATTCAGTTGAAGAGATCGGCCAGGTTTCATGATTCGGTGGTTTTGTTCATTACGGTAGCGGTAGCAGTTCTCCTTTATTCCCTTCCCAGCTGGGTATGGCCATTGGACAGTCAATAGGAACAGATAAATAAATAGAATGATAGCAGAAGCAACAGGTGTTTCTTAAATTCTCCGCCAACGCTCATAATTGTTCGATCACATTGTTTTGAAAACAGAACTACTTGTTTTCTGGCGCAGAGCTTATTGTCAAAAAGGTATTCCGCCCAAATCCACATTCCCGCAGCCTCTCTCCGCCTTTCATCTGCACCGACAGCCACCGCCTGCACTTTGAATAGCCGCGCCTTGTGCAGTCTTGGGATAATAATCTCATCTGCTGTAGCTTGAGCATTGTTCCTTGCTTTTTGTTTTTCTCTCTCTCAACTGTTGCAGCCTCCCCGTCTTCATCTCTTTTCACAACCCGGCAATCTTTGTTCGGTTTCCATCCAATCCGGCATCTGCATTCTCATCCCTAGCCGCAACCGAGAGTCCATCTTAGCCAAGACGGCCATTAACAGCGAATCCTTACCACGAAAGGGTTCAGCGATACAGCAGGTGAGCTGCTTTTACCCCAAATTACGGTGCTTGGTTGGCCCCTGAGTCCCTTGTATCTTCCCACCCCCAGGCGCCTCCCTCTATAGCCTTGAGCGGGCTCTTGATAGCGATCAACTCCTGGCATTGGACCCCAAGCGGATAAGTTCCAGTAAGGTAGGTCAAGTTAGTCGGCGAGGCTAGGTCTTGGCTTATTACTGCGAACAGGGCCTGAGGTGGCACGGGAGGTGGCTACTGGTGGCATACCCTGGGCGCCTCTCTCGTGGTCCTCCACTGCCTGGGCTTGCTGGGCTTGGGGTCGTCTAGTCCAGTGCCAGTCTAGTCCACTCTGATACAGTTTGTACTGATTAGAGGTGGAGCGGCTCCCATTGTTGAACCTCCTCCTGTGGCCTCACCTTCTGCGGCACAAAACGCGTGAACTACACTTCGGTTTTGTGTCAAGTTTCTTCTCTGACCTATCTTTTTATGCAGCTGTGAAACTCACCTGAGGATCCATTCGAGTTCTGTCGCCGCTTGTCGCATCCAAAACAAAATCGTCATCGTCGCACCTCGTTCCCTTCCGTTATCCGGCCTTCGAGTCCCTGGCCTGCCTGTTTGACCTGCCCCTCTCCAGGCGCTCTAACCTTACCTACTCTACTACCTACACTCTAGTCTGCATTACATCCACCATCTTCGTACAGACACAACAATTGTCGCTTCCATCATCTCCATCTGCCCCTCGACGACTTTTTGCGCTTCCACATAATTCGTCGATCTGATATCCATTTCCTTCGAACTTCTCCTAATAAACGATCGCAACAATGGCTCAGCCCGGCGTGCAGTCATTGAAGGTTTGTTGAGCCGATGGTTACCTGACGCAATACATGGTTGGCTGACCGCTGCTACAGTGCGTGGTGACTGGTGATGGTGCTGTTGGAAAGGTACGTCGGACAACAATCAGCCGCTTACAACGCGATGGCTTTCCCTAACAAGAGCCTTCCGCTGACCGTGCTCCCAGACCTGTCTACTCATTTCCTACACCACAAATGCCTTCCCCGGCGAATACATCCCCACTGTCTTCGACAACTACTCGGCGAGTGTCATGGTAGATGGCAAGCCTATTAGCCTCGGCCTCTGGGATACTGCTGGTCAGGAGGATTACGACAGACTGCGACCTCTCTCATACCCCCAGACCGATGTCTTCCTCATCTGTTTCTCCATCGTCAGCCCTCCTTCATTCGACAACGTGAAGGCCAAGGTACGCCGCCCCCCTTATCGCCACAACACATCGACTCCGCTGACACCCTCTCTAGTGGTATCCCGAGATTGACCATCATGCGCCTAACATTCCCATTATCCTTGTCGGAACCAAGCTTGATCTTCGAGAAGACGCCTCCACCCTCGAATCACTTCGACAGAAGCGTATGGAGCCTGTGTCGTACGAGCAGGCGTTGACTTGCGCCAAGGAGATCAAGGCCTACAAGTACCTCGAGTGTTCTGCCCTCACTCAAAGGAACCTCAAGAGCGTTTTTGACGAGGCCATCCGGTGAGCATCAACAGTGATTATGTGCCCTAGTACGCATCTAACTCGTGTTTAGAGCTGTTCTTAACCCTCGACCCACACCTTCGAAGCAAAAGAAGAACAAGTGCTCCATTCTGTAGATATCCATCTAACGAACGCTATTCCCGTGCGTGGCAACGCACGCGCTCGATTTTCTCAACGAAAGCGTCTGGACGACGCGAAATGACACGAAGAACTCAGGACGAATGTTTGATAGGCATTCAGCGATACAAGACGGCGGCTCTTGACGGAATATCCCCTGGGAGCGGCTGGGGCTAGACTAGGCTATTGCTTTTTTCTCGAGGCCCGATACCCGTACCCAGAACATGACCCTCGCAACGATCATGCGGAGGCAACTGCATATGACGATGGCTTTTACTTGCGAGGCGGTTCTTGAATGAATTTTGGGGTTTTACTATCTGCGGTTACGTGTTTCCAACCGTTGCTTTTTATTATTTATCTCTATTTGCTCATATCTCATGCTGTGGCCTCCTCGCGGAGTTTATACCGATTTTGCCAGTAATTCAAGAACCGGATTGCACTTTGGACAGATGATTGCTTGCGATTGTTTTGTTTTGTGATGTTTTGTTTTCTTCGACAAGTGTCTGTTTTACCTGCGGAGGTATGTTGAATCAATACGGCTATCATGTCTCGTATCTGGCATTCACTCTCGAGAGTTGCAGTTTGGCAACCAGTTTCTGCGATGTATAGTCGTTGGAGTTCTTCCAGCAGCGGTCAATTTGTCCGTCTCGATTCAGAATTGGTCTTTTTGATTTGTTGCTATGGGCGAAAGATATCGCATTGCTTGTTAGAGCTCCCATTAGAGTATACGATCACTTAAATCGGGGCGTAAACAGAAACGAACCTACAGTGTACACTGGTTGATATACACGACCAACAGTCTGTTTATATAGGCGTTCACTTGAAGCAGGAATATCTCAGAATCAGTCGAATAAAGTAGTGGATATAGAAATATAATTCATCGTTTGTTCGTGAGGTCAAGGATCCACTTCCTTTGGGTATCTCTCACTACCTATCATATAAATGCACAACAACTTTTGTGTATCCGATCCCAGTACAATCATTAAAACATATTTAGAGACCCTCACAAACCTACTTCTTCTTAGGCTTCGCACCCTTGACTCGAGGCCTGTTGAGCTGTTTCTACCAGCGGTTGCCAGGAATGTGGGCACGTCGACTTGGATGAATACCATCCTCTCCAGCTTTGCGAGTGTCACCCTTGCCCTTGTTCTCTTCCTTCGCCGTCCTCTCACGCTCAATACGCTTGGCGCGGTTCTCGTCGAGCTTGCGGTTCTTCTCCTTGATCTTGTCCTGGCGCTGCTTTGTCTTGCCACCTCCACCGGCACTGTTTACACAGAGTCAGCGTGTGTGTTCTAGTCATGTATGAAGTTGCTGTTCGTGCAGGTGAGTGTCGGTGAAGAAGTAGAGAGCGTGAGTCAAGTCAATACTAGTCACTCTGGGATGGTTACACAAATCGAGGTGCTTTTGTTTGAATCAGGCTGAGTGAAAAGGGTGTGGAGTCAAAGCAACGAAGTGAGTTATCTTGTAAGACAGAAGTATGAAAACAACTTACGTCAACTCGACATTTATGCGGCGGGGATAAGAGACACCATCTGAGAACTCGGAGTGGTGGAACTTGTCGAGACATGTTCGCATATGCCAGACCTTCTCGAACTCGACAAAGGCAAAGCCACGGCAGGGCTTGCTATCCTTGGGATCGCTCATGCAGCGAACTGACACCGGGTTGAGAGAGGCAAAGTGAGCTTTGATTGTTTCGGCAGTGGCGGTGAAGGGCAAGTTGCCGACGAAGACAATGTGACGGTCTCCTTTGCCATCAGCAGCCTCTGCATCAGCGCCGGCAGCAGACTCATCGTTGGTGGTCGTTGTTTCGGAGGCCTTGTTTTGCTTCTTCTTGTCCTTCTTGCTCTTCTTTGGCCCCTCCTTGGGTTCCTCCTTGGGTTGGGCATCGGGGCTGGCGTCGTCCTTTGGTTGTGACTCGTCGGTTTTGGGCTTCTTGTCCTTCTTCTTCTTGTCTTTCTTCGCAGGCTTATCTGCCTCTACTGGCGCATCCGCAGGCTTGTCGTCAGCTTCAGCCATTGGAGCATCCTCGGCCGCCTCTTCGTCATCGTCCTGCTCGGGGAGGTCCTGGAGGTTCTTGCGCTTGTCTTTGCGCTCCTTGCGCGATTCCTTCTTGTACTTCTTGTCTCTCTTCTCCTTCTTAGCCTTCTTCAGATCGGCACCATCACCCTCGCTGCGCTTGCGCTTCTTGGCTGGGGCCTC